AATATTTTTTTTTTAAATTTTAAACTTTTAAAACGCAACATAAAGCCAAATTTGCAAAACACTTAAGTTTTGCTGCTTCATTTTCACTAAATACTTCCTTCATGGCTTTCAAAACAATGCTTAAGGCATTAACAAACTTAACTGAGATTTGTATATTTGCCACGTAAGCTCAAATAGTTGTCCAAAAATATTATTATTGACCCACCCACCTTCACTGTAAAGAAATTAAGCTAATTTGACATAAATCAAATTTTCCATACAACGGAATGAGTTGAATGAGAGCTGACAGCTATTTGACACTTGTGTTAATTGCGTATTTACATATGTATGTACATACATACAAACAAAATCGAAATTATGAATTATACCCATGCCAACGAGCAGACCTTAACTAAACCCTCAGCTACTTGCGAGTTTTCACAACCGCCCACAAAAAGCCGTTAAAAGCAGCAGTGTTGTGGCATGTCGCCTTTAGGTGACCTACAACCTTCACCAAGTGCGGTGTGCATTTCAGCAAATATTCGAAAAACTATATACTAAATGCAACGTCAACGCTGTGGCAGGAGCGCAAGCAGGCCGCAAGTGCGCAAGGTTGGTATAAAACAGCCGGGAAAATGCAACCGAAAATCATAAAAATATTTATTTGCCTCGTGTTTGTGGCAGCGCGTCATTCAAAGTTCACTTCATTTTCAACTCAGTGATTTTCAAAAGCTGTAAAATTTGATTTACAAAATTTCAATAATGACAAATAATTTATGATTTCGTGTAAAATTAGTTATTAAATTAAAAAAAAAAAAAAAAAAAAAAATTCAAAATTGTGCACTCGCTTTTAAAGATGACGATAATACGCTGCAGTCGTTCAATTATCAGAAGATTCTGCTGCAATTGTCCAGTGATACAGATTGTAAGCGAAAATATAAAAAAAAATAGTGCGAAATTGCATACTATTTCATACTCATAACGCATTCATTGCAATATTGATTATTATTTACCGGTTGTGTAATGAAAAACGTTAAAATTTACGTCTCGCAATCAATCAGCTGTTTTTTCCCGGGTATATGCAATGTAAATGCATTAGAGCGTGCAGCCTTAGGCGCGTGGGTATTGCAAGCTTTTTGCCTAGTAACCGCACAAGCTGTAGCCACATTCAGGTACTCGCACCACAACTTTCATGTCGCCTTGTTGCCGCTTTTTTGCCTTAGTGAGACGTTTGTCAAGGTCAGGTTTAATTGGCGCATTCGCCTGCTCGTTGTAGGAATCACGTGTGCATGCTCTCTATTTGTGCATTTATTGGCAGTGCATTTTGGATATATGAGAGCACCAACTTAACCTTTAAGTGACTAAGTTTAGTGAGTATTTTTAAAGTAATCGCTTCTTAATTACCTTTTTAAGGTATTTTTCTACTCTGATTTCGAAATCGAAATAAATGGATTTCCAAACGATTTTTTTTTTTTTTTGGAATTTTAGGGATGAATGGCGCACAGAGTAATAGAATGAATATATAATATAAATATGTAGGTATATATCATTATATCAATTACAATTTTTTTGGCTATAAACACCTATAAACTAGTTTTCATCTCTTAGTTCTGAGCTTTATTTCCGGCACCTCTTCATATCTCAATGCCAAATAAGGCATTCTCTCAACGTCATCGAAGGGATAACCGGTAAATTTGATAAAAAAATATTTTATTCTCGAAACTGCTTGTGCATTTACGTGAGAGAAGTGAGAACAACAGAGTTACCATTATTATATATA